CCCTCTTCTTCGGGGCAGCCCCTGAGATATTGGAACGCTGCTATCATGTCCCCCCTCGTCCTTCGCTTCATTAAACTAGACATCCCCAATTCCTTTTAGCCCCTTTTCTCTCTTTTAATCCACGGCCTTCTCCTCTCAACGGGATATTAACGTTGCTCTTTGGCTCTCGGCAGGTTTCAAACTAAACAAGAGACTCTACGAACTGATCATCACTCGCTACGCAGAGCCCGACCTGGCCCTGGACTTCGACAACTTTGTCTGCTGTTTGGTGCGGCTGGAAACCATGTTCCGTGAGTTTTCCTCCCCTTCCCTGGTGTTTGGGGGGGGGGGTACGGCCAAGTAATCCGATGATCCCGAATTAAGCCAGTTTGTCCTACAGGTAGTCCTTGATTTACAACCCACAGTTCAACCCAAAATCTCTGTTGCTAAGTTGAGATATTTGTTAAGGGAGGTTTTGTCCCATTTTGCGACCATTGGTTAACTGGATCACTGCAGTTGTTAACTTAGCCACAGGGTTGTTAAGTGAATCTGGCTTCCCCCATTGACGTGGCTCGTCAGGACGTTGCAAAAGGGGATCACGCGACCCCGGGACGCTGCGACCGTCATAAATGTGAGTCGGTCAACCACGTGTCTGAATTTTGATCGTGGATGCTGCAACGGTCCCAAGTGTGAAAAACGGTCGTCAGTCAGCACTTTTTGCAGTGCTGTTGTTAACTTCGAACCGTCGCTAAATGCGCCGTTGTAAGTCGAGGACTACTTGAATCCTCAGTGGCCTCCGGGTTTTCTGTGATTCTATTAGTCTGTGATTTTTCTATTCTGTTAATTACAGGGGGTTGGACTAGAAGACCTCCAAGGCCCCTTCTAATCTAGTGATTTATGGATGTATTGATTAATGAATCCTTACCTGTTTTTCCTTTTGTAGGATTTTTCCAAGCCCTGGACACGGACAAAGACGGGATTGTCACGTTTGACTTGATTAAGGTAACCACGTCGAGGTGGACTACAATTTCCTAACCCTGCTGGGTGGGGAATTCTGGAAGTTTCCAGAAGCCTTTGAGACCCCTTCACAGCTGAGCTTTCATCCTTGGAAATGCTTCGTCCGTCCCTTGTTTTCCTCTTCCCTCCCCTGCCCTTTTCCTCGCGGGCTGCGTCTTTCCAATTTCTAATCCCAAAGGCTTGGATATTTCTAATCTCTTGGACAAGCTTTTGGGACCCAGAATGCTCTCAAAGCCCCTTTTGTGATTTGTCTGGTGTGGCGTTGTTGGTAAAAAAAAGAAAAGAAAATGTCTCTTGTGTCTTTTTCACAGTGGATACAACTGACCATGTTCGCCTGAAAAAAAAGATACGGATCACGTCCCGTGCAATTCTGTGGACTTTTCATCTCCCTGGACATTTTGTTTTGAAAGGGGGGGAGATTCTGACCTGCAAGTGCCTTGCGTTAACGCTTTTTCGCCGCTTCTGTTCCAAGGAGAAGAAACACACAAACAGACACACCCCACGCTTCCAACTCGGAGTTGTTCCATTTCCTGTGTGGGCTCCTACCGGTTCTGGGGGACCTGAATGCAGCTTCATTTCAAACGTCTGTCTTCACACCTGGTGTGATGCTGCTCGGGACTCGCACAGCGTTTTGCCAAAGCCACAAAACTGCCTTGTCCCTCAGCCAGCATGGGGTTCCTAGCAGCACTCCCCAGGTTCACAAAATTGGGGGGGGGGGAGTTTACTCTTGGGTGATCCCAGCCTTGGCAAGGTGGAATTACAGGTAGTCCTCAACTTACAACAATTCATTTAGTGAGCGTTGAAAGTTATAGGCGCTGAAAAAAAAGGGACTTATGACCGTTTTTCGCCCTTGTGACTGTTGCAGAATCCCGCATGGTGACGTGGTTTATATTCGGATGCTTGGCAACCGACTCACATTTATGACGGTCGCAGTGTCCTGGGATCATGTGATTCCCTTTTGCGACCTTCTGATAAGGGGAGAGCCAGATTCACTTAACAACCGGGTTGCCGATTTAACAACAGCAGCGATTCGGTTAACAAATGGGGCAAGAAGAGTCGTAAAATGAGGCAAAACTTAGTTAGCCATTTTCTCACTTAGCAACATAAATTTTGGGATGAATTGAGGTCGAGGACTATCTGTGCCTAGAAAACTCTCTCTTTTGGGAACCGCAAAATTGTGGACAAAAATGTATATTTAATCTTGCTGGCGACATTAAGTGAGGACGAATCAGGCATCTTCGCCAGTTTATAGTTGAGCGCTCCTTTCGATTTTTTTTTTTAAATACAGATATTCCTCGACTTACAACCCCTTCATTTAGTCACCATTCGAAGTTACAACAGCACTGAAAAAAATAACTTACGACTTGTCCTTGCACTTACAGCCCCCTGGTCACGTGATCAAAATTCAGGCACTGGGCCACTGGCATGTACTTGCGACGGTTGGACCGTCCCGGGGTCACGTGATCATCCTTTGCGACCTTCCCAGCCGGCTTCCGACCGGCAAAGTCAGTAGGGCAATCCAGATTCACTTAACGACCGCCTGATTCACTTAACAACTCGAGGGGGTTCGCTGAGCAAACGTGGCCAAACCAGGTTGCAAAATTGGGCTCCACTCACTTAACAAACCGCCTTGCTTAGCGGTGGGAACACTGCCCCCAATTGTCGTCGTAAGTCGAGGACTATCTTTATTTACAGCTAAGAGAATGCCACGATTGTTGGTAAACTCAGGTGACCAACAAAATTGACCTTTTTTGCATTATGTCCAGCCTTCAAACTTCTTTTACAGGCCACCCCTCCTGTTTGCAAGGGGTGCTAAAAATCAGGAATTAGTTTCACCCTTTGTTCCCAGCGGAGCAAGCAATATTTCATTGGTTTTGTTATGCATGTGTGTGTTTATATATCAATATATATATGTAATTTCCTGGACGCTCCTGGAAGCACTCCAGTGCCTAATCAACCTCCCTTCCAGGCCTTTGTAGGAGATTTTTTTTACCCTGCAAAGGTCGGTTTGGGAAATTCGGTGCCTAAAGACTGCAGTTGTTACACGCTCCTCGCCTGTCTAGTGCGCTTGCTGCCAAATATTTTTGATGGAGAGTTTGTGTCGCAAACTCTTGCTAGTTGTACCCGTGATCAGAGAATCTGAAAAGCCTCGGAATCACTTCTTGGACACGGTGGAGAGATCCCGTGTGCAGGACTTGATTTGAACTTCTCTTAAACCAGGGGTCTTCCAACACGGCCCTTTGATGACTTGTGGACTTCAACTCCCAGAATTCCTCGTGCCTGGCTGAGGGATTCTGGGAGTTGAGGTCCACAAGTCATCAAAGGGCTGAGTTGGAAGACCCCTGTCTTAAAGGTTCTCTGGTGCTACCATTTATGTTCTTATGCGTGTTTTTGTATGGTAGAAATGGATTTTGTTTCCATGCCAAAATAAAAGGAACTGTGGTAATGCTTAACCACCACTAAACCGGCTTTGTCTGGTTGTGATTATTGCTGGACTTTCCACCAAAAACTGGGTGTTTCGTCTCAGAAAAGGCAGGGTTTTTTTGGGTGGGATCTGGATTGCAAATCTGGAAGTCTCAAGATTTGACTTTATGTCAGGGGTCTTCAAACTTGGCAACTTTTAAGACTTGTGGACTTCAACTCCCAGAATTCCTGGCTGAAGAATTCTGGGAGTTGAAGTCCACAAGTCTTAAAAGTTGCCAAGTTTGAAGACCCCTGCGTTATATCATTGGGAATCTTTGTCATTTATTTGCCTTCACTGTGGGAGTCCTGATCTCCTCTATAATTTGCTTTTAATTAGGGGTTTCTATTCCAATCAGAGCCACTCCATGAGATATTTTTTCCCACGGTCGCCTGATACCTGCTGCTTATTTCATTCTCCACAATCTCTGCAGCGAGAAGGCGAAAAACAGCAGGACCTGGGCACAAATTCTAGCCCCCCCCCCAAAAAAAATGGCAGTTAAATGCAGTTATCAAAAATGGTTTTTAAAAAAAATCAGAACTTAAGGCCAAACATTGGGGTCAGCCTGGCTACCGACCTTTTTAAATCCTAGCTGATTTTTGTTTTTAATTACCTATTACTTTTCTTTCCTGCAATTTTTTATTAATTTGAGGTTTGAGCTCCAAAGTTCAGCCTGGGGTGGCTCAGGATGGCAAGATTTGAATGTGGGCAGAAGCAGAAGTTTCATTCGGAAATGAATGAATGAATGAGAGCAGTTTGGTGTAGTGGTTAAAGCACTGGGCTAGAAAGCGGGAGACGGTGAGTTCAAGTCCCATCTTAGCCATGAAAGTCAGCTGGGTGACTTTGGGCCAATCACCAGGAGATGGTGAGTTCTAGTCCCGCCTTGGGCATGAAAGCCAGCTGGGTGACTTTGGGCCAGTCACCAGGAGACGGTGAGTTCTAGTCCCGCCTTGGGCATGAAAGCCAGCTGGGTGGCTTTGGGCCAATCACCAGGAGACGGGGAGTTCTAGTCCTGCCTTGGGCATGAAAACCAGCTGATTCCTTTGGGCCAGTCCCTTTCTCTCAACCCAACCCACCTCAGAGGGTTGTTGTTAACGGGGAAAATAGGTGGAGAATGATGGGTTGGATATCTTTGCCTCCTTGAACTATTGGTAAAAATAATAAAACATGGGATACAAATAAATAACTAAAATGTATTGGGTGGGGAGGTTTCATACCAGACCGTCACAGATTTTGCTGCCTCATTGTAAGGCTGGCTGCAAACCTGCCTGTGCCAGAAAACACAGCGGCTGTGGCATTATCTCACACCGTAGGCTGTGTATCTCCCAGCTGCTTCTCCATCCGTCTTCTCCTGTGGCACTTCCTTGCCATTTTTGGAAGTATCTCGGAGGGCGTCTCGAGGGCTCTGTTCAAAAGCAGGAGTGAACCTTCTACACCGTTGAGAACGTTGCTCCAGCTCAACCAAGGCAGTCAAGCTAGAGACCGGCGGGATCTTCCTCCGAGCCACAGACTTCAGGAACAGGTGTCTCTGTTGGGTGACATCATGGAGAAGAAGCCCCCGTGGCTTTGTACGGTCCTTCTCGTGATCTTCTGCGTCCCCGGGATCTTGGCTGAGAAGAGTAAGCTAGGGGTGGAAAGTGGGGGTCCCTTGGGAATCCTCACCTTCTCTGAATCCACCTTCCCTTGACCGTGGATTCATGCAAGGTGTGTTTGAGTAGCTCTGTGGGTAGGAAGCTCGCCCTTTGATGGTCTTCTCTCCTTCTCTCATCAGTTCTGGAAGGCAAGGCCTTCGTCTTCCCCAAGACTTCTGCTGACTCCTACGTTCTCCTGAAGCCCGACTTACAGCAAGGGCTGAGACACTTCACCCTCTCCCTCGAATTTTTCACCGACTTGACCCGCAGCCATGTCCTCTTCTCGGCCGCTTCCCAGGATCACGACAACGAGATTCTCCTGATGCGAAACCTTGAAGAGTACCACGCTTGTGTGGGAGGGGAGTGTGCCGTTTTCACAGTGCCCAGACTCGCAGCCAGGTCTACCTTCCACTGGGAATCGGTTTGTACAACTTGGGATTCAACTACCGGGATAGTCCAGCTCTGGCTGGACGGTCAACGCTTGCCAAGGAAAGGGGCCGCCAAGGGCTATGAGGTCAAGACGGATCTGGTGGTGGTGCTGGGGCAGGAACAAGATTCCTACGGGGGCAACTTTGACAGGGATCAGTCCTTTGTGGGAGAAATCGCTGAGGTCTACCTTTGGGACAATGTCCTGCCTGCCGAACAAATACGCAACATGCAGAAACACACCACGCCGGCCCCTTTAGTGGCCTGGACCTCGCTGAATTTTGAAATCCGAGGCTACGTGTTGACAGAGCCTTTGTGAAGCCTTCGGTCAAAGAAGAGGAGGAACTGAAGTTCTCACTGCATCTCAGCGCTCCTCAACCTTGGTCACTTGGAGATGTTTGGACTTCAACCCCCAGAATTCCCTCCAAGCATGAAGAGAATTCTGGGTGTTGAGGTCCACCCATCTTCAAGGGCCGAAGGTTGAACAACCTTGCTTTGAACCTCTTAACCAGGGGTCTTCCAACTTGGCCCTTTGATGACTTGTGGACTTTAGCTCTCAGAATTCCTCAGCCAGGCACGCTAGCTGAAGAATTCTGGGAGTTGAAGTCCACAAGTCTTAAAGTTGCCATGTTTGAAGACCCCTGGTACAAGGAAAAGGTTACCTCTAGTGACCCTTGACCTTAGTGCAGGGGTCTTCCAACTTGGCCTTTTTATGACTTGTGGACTTCAATTCCCAGAATTCTTTAGCCAGGGAGTTGAAGTCCACCAGTCATCAAAGGGCCAAGTTGGAAGACCCCCTGCTCTTAACCAACCAAGCAGCTTTGCAAGATCCAAAGGAGCCCCATTGATTCTAGCCTCCCACCACCACCACCCCTTGCCCCACAGGCTGTGTGATTGGCTGTGCTTGTTTTCGTGCCCAGTGCTGTTATTTTTTTAATTTGGATTTTAACAACCGACCCATCTGCCTCCCGCTCGGGGTCTCTAGGACCCTTTCAGGGAGACCAAGTCAAATAAATATCTAAACATCTCTCTTTTAATTTCTAATATGGCGAATATCGGTAAGAAACCCCCTGTGTCTCCTCTCTGAAAAAAGAGAGAGTTTAGTATTGAAAAGTAAACTCAATAAATTGCTCTTTGAATACTGTATTTTTTTTTTCTAATGCGATGCTAAATGGACCGGCCTTGGTTCTTTCTGTCCACCGAGAAATTCTGTAAGGAAGAAATTACATCTATATCTTTGGCGTTGCTTGGATGGGCATCCAGACCTGTTTTATGTAACCCCCTTGGTTACTGCATCTTCTGAACGAAAGCGATAAAGAAACAAACCGACAACCGCACTGGAAAAGGCACAACCTGCCCTATGAGATCTTCTGCAATAAACCTTGGCAGTGCCGTGTTTATGCTTTTTCTCGATGTGTTATTATTTGGCATGCATCGGTGTAAATTTTGAAGATAATATATCATTAGAAATAAACTCTTGACGCCCTGAAATGGGCCACTGGAGGGCTTGAATTTTAGGTGGGGAGGACCCAACCACTATTGCAAGGGAGATAATCCCCATCAGCCCCCACCCTGGAAAGCTGGCTAATGGCACCTGAAGTCCAAAGCATTTCCTGTAGCGTGTGTGCGTGTATATACACACAAAAAAAATCATATTTTTTAAATTAAATTTTCTTTAAACAACCGGTATTTTGAGGGGGGGCAGCTTGTTCCACTTCTTGCTCTCTGTTGCAAGAATGGACAAACTCTATCAAACACCCCCCCCCCCACCCTGGAGGTGGCTGATGGAACTTGTAATCCAGCTTAGCTGGCTCAGGAATTCTGGGAGTTGAAGTCCACGAGTCATAAAAGAGCCAAGGTTGACTACCCCTGTTCCTACACCATTGAGAACATCTCTCAAACTCAACCCGAGACAGCCAAGCAGCAGACTTCAGAAACCGGTGGCTACGTTGAGGGATGTTATGGAGAAGAAGCATCCGTGGGTTTGTACAGTCCTCCTTGTGGTCTTCTGCCTTCCAGGGATCTTGACCAACACAAGTAAGTCTTGATTCCATGGTAGAACCTTCACCTTCTATGAATTAAACCTTGAATCAACCATGGATTCATGGTTGTGCTGGAATAGCTCGGTGGGCATGAAGTCCACCCTTTGACGGTCCTTCTCTCTCTCTTCTTTCTTCCTCAGATTTGGAAGGAAAAGGGCTTTGTGTTCCCCAAGCCTTCTGCTGACTCCTACGTTCTCCTGAAGCCCAACCTCGATCAAGATTTGCGAGAGTTGACCCTTTGTCTCCGCTTCTTCACCGACTTGACCCGCAGCTTCTCCCTCTTCTCGGCCGCTTCCCGAGAACAGGACAACGAGATCCTGCTCTTCCAAAACCCCCAGAGTTTGGGTGTGGGTGTGGGTGTGGAGTGCACCAATTTCCCCTTCCCCAGATTTCTAGAAAGATCTCCCTTCCACTGGGAATCGGTTTGTGCCATGTGGGATTCGGCTATCGGGATAGTCCAGCTCTGGCTGGATGGGAAGCGCTGCCGAGGAAAGGGATAAGCGAAGGGCTACGAGGTCAAGGCGGATCTGATGGTGATGCTGGCACAGGACCAAGATTCCTACGGGGGCAAATTAGACGTGGAACAGTCCTTTGTGTGAGAAATGGCTGAGGTCTACCTCTGGGATAAAGTCCTACCTCTACAGGAGTTAAACAACTTCCAGACCCCGGTGACCCCAAATCCATAGACTCCGTGTCTATGTGTGTGTTTTAAATCCCACTGAGTTTTATTGGTTGCATTGTTATCCAGGTGAATATTTGTTGAAAAGGACAATCATGCTTTTTAACAATTTCTGCTTCCCTCCCTCCTAATTCTGTGCCAAATGGATCAGTCTCAATTCTTCCTGTTTATTGCGGAAATCTGCAAGAAAATAAATTGTTTATTTTTTCTGCCTTTGCTGTTGGGTGGATGGGCATCCAGACATATTTTATGTAACCCCGTCACTGTGCATTCTGAACCTATGTAAACAATGTACAAATCTGTCCTACGAGATCTTCTGTAATAAAAATTGGTAGTGTTGTGTTGATGGTTTATAGTCTGTGTTTTTATTTTGCTTGCATTAATGGTTTGAAAATTAATATATTGTTAGAAATATTCTCACGATGCCACCAAATGGGCCACTGGAGGAAGAACGAGATGAGTTTCTATCATTTCAATGCAGTTTATAATCCTCCCTCTGCTATACTTTTAATTTTTTGCAATTTGGTGGCTGATACTTTATCAGAGGTGTAGCTAAATTCCGCAGGATGTTTGGGCAGAATTCGATAGCTGATGCTCGCATTACTAAGGGTTTCGCCAGCTGCCCTTCATAAGCATGCTGGATTCCTTTCTCTTATCCCTTTTATTAAATTTAGAGAGCAACTGACTCCAAATAGTTTTGGGCAGCTTACAGTTTAAAAAGTAGTTTAAAAAAAAAGTGTGCAAAAAAACCAGCAAAACACACACACTTCATCACTTTAAAAAGGAAATCCTGTAGGCTTAATAACGTTGCTACCAGACTTGAGTGCGAAAGTTATGTCTCATTCACAACCAGCCTAGGGGGGGAAAAACCCAGTTGTATCAACCTTGCAAGGTAGACCAGAGAAGAAACACACACACACACACGTGTAATTTGACTTTATTGTGCAGCTCCATTAGAAGAATCTTGCAAATCTGGAAAGTATTAGATAGGTCTCACCAGCCTTTTCTTACTGCCCAAGAAATTTAGAAGGGCCCCTTCTGAGTCCCATTCTTGCTGTGGACTCAGCTGCCTCTTATTTGAGTGCATTAAATATGATGGCCACCTTGGAATTATACATAAACATTATAGGGAATTATAATAATTTCCTAGAGATTTTTATTTTTATGGGCGGGCATTTTGCAAAAAAAACGTTTTTGTGTTTTTATTCTTCGAAAGATAACTTTCAGTCACACTTTTTTCCCCTCTTTTATTAACAATTCTGTCTGACGAAGAGCTCAGCATAACACCGAAGTCTTGCAAATATTTTAAAAGACCCATTAGAGTAGAAAATCTCCGGCCTCTCTAGGAACGAAAGCTCTCTCTCTCCCTGAGTCTCCCATTCGGCACAGACTTGGCCGTTCTAGGAACGTAACTTCTTTCCCTCCCCGAGTCTCCCTGTCAGGCTCGGCCGCCACGCCCACTCCGGCATGCGCCCACTCACAAGCCGAAGCCGCAGTGGGCGTGGCGGCCGCCCATTCCCTTTTTTTCTGATTGGTAGTAGAAAGCGGGGCGGGGCCGTAAATAGCCGAATGGACGCGCGCGTTTTTGTTTCTCCGCCCCTTTTTTCTTTCGGGAGTTTTTTTTTTGTAGTTGGCGCCAAAAGGAGGCGAAGATGGGGCTGGGGATTATGGATGCAGTAGTGGCCGATCTTAAGGTCTTCGGGCTGGATTTCGCGGAAGGGGAAGACCAGGACTCCATTGCCGAGAAATGTAAGGCTAAGGGGGAAGGTTGGGGGGGGGGAAAGGAGATAAAGGGCAGTGGGTAAAACCGGGCGCTAGTCCTCATGAAAAAATGGGGATGAGGCGTGGTTTAAGCCTACAAATTATCTCCTTTTACGGTAGCCTTCCATCACTTCTAATAAGCAAACAAAGAGGGTGGGACAGCCAGTCAATCCCTGAGAAACCAAATTCCTGGCTGTTAGTCTAAGGTAGACTGCCACTGAACGCGGAGGTTCAGAAGCCAGGTTTTGGGTGAGAATCAGGGGTCTGCCTTGATGGCTAAAGTTCGCTTTGTTCAATTCAGGGTTTGTTTTGAAGTGGGGGCACACCAAAGCGCTCCCGCTCTCTTTTGTGGGAACCCCAGATCCTATACTGGGTTTGTCCCAACACACTAAACTGCGAATTAACTCCCCCTTTGCTGAGTTTTGCACAAAAGATGGCATTGCGACTTAACCCACTGGCAAGGATGCTGAGATGAACCTGGTTAACCAATGGCTGGGATGATTGTATTTGTTAGTGATTTATTAGGCTTGCATACTATGCTCGTCTCCAGGGATGGGGGGCAATTAATAATACAAAGATAGAACATTGAAATTAAAACAGCTACAGGAAACTGTGAGCCCAAATGGAGAAAACAGCCCAAACTCCAGATACTACAATCCCACGATTTATCCCATTTTATGGATTTGTTTACATATTAAATTAAGACACTTGATTTAAGAAATTCAGGCAGGATTAGAACTTGGCACTTCGAATCCAGCATGTGTTTCGACAATGATGATCTGGCCCAGGTATAAAAAGGAAAAATCCAGGGGAAAAAAACTGACAGGCAGGGAAACCAATTCGAATTCTGCCATACCACCCAAACTGCTTTTGGTGGCGATGGGATTTGGGCAGGAGTGGCACACCCCCCCCCCCTTCTAATGCCTGCTGGCTTAAAAAAAAAAAAAAGATGGTTTCCTTGTTATTTACTTTCTTACAGTGGAAGAAATCTGCATGACGGGATGGGTATCGGAGTTGGATTTAGGAAACGAGTTGGTTGCTTTTGCTATGCGCAAGGGAGTCCTCCTTCTGACTCTGGAGAACTTACTGGCCTTCGAACACGAGGTAGGAGGGAAGCGGTGATAAGCTTGACCTCATTTCTAGCAGTTATAGGTGGTCCTCGACTTAAGACCGCAATTGAGCCCAAAGTCTATGTGGTTAAGTGAGACATTTGTAAAGTGAGTCATTTGTAAAGTGAGTTTTGCCCCGTTTTGTGACATTTCTTGCCACAATTAAGTGAATCACTGCAGCTGTTAGTCACACTTTCCAACTTTATTACTATTATTATTATTATTATTATTATTATTATTATTATTATTATTATTATTATTATTAACCGTAACCACTTCAAATTGTCTAGATTGCAACTCCCAGAATTTCCCAGCCAGCGTGTCTTATTGGAAGAAACAACCAGCCAACACAACCACAATTTTTGTGTGTTTTTTTCCTTTTCTCTTTTTAGATGCTAAGCAAGAAGGCCACAAAGCCCTGCAGGAGAAAGGAAGAACGCTGGTCCAGCATGGGGGACGTCAACTCTGTTCAAGAGTCGTATCCTCTCTAAAGGTGGGAGGAATGTGGCAGTAGGAAGGGACCTTGGAGGTCATCTAGTCCAGGGGCCTTCCAACTTGGCCCTTTTATGACTTGTGGACTTCAACTCCCAGAATTCCTCAGCCAGGCACGTATTGGACTAGTCTGATCTAGTCCAACTCCTTGCTGATTTACTTTTGATCGAATGGAAGTGTCAATTTTTTTCTATCCACCCTGGCTTGATCGAAGCAGAGCTTGTAATTTTGTGCGATTTTAAGAGAGGCGCTTATATTTTACGGTTGAGTCTTAACTCTTTGCAGTCTGGATGTTGACGAAGAAGAAGAGGATTTGCTGGAGGCCTACACCTCGCCCTCGAAAGTAAGTGGGGGGGGCGTTTGGGGGGGTGTATCTCCTTCAGGGTGACTAGTAAAAGGAGAGCCCTGTGGGGGCAAGTGGCCAAGAGCGACACAAAATCTGCTTTTGTGGCTCTGCAACTGAAACCTTGGGATAGACTGCTTCTCAAAATGGAGGTTCTATTCTGATAACTGCAGCAAAGAGAAGCCCTTCGCGAAAAGGCCCGGATCTAACAAAGCTTCTGCTAGCAGGGTCTCCCGACGTTTAACTGGTGTGGGGAAAGTGTGGTAGCTTCATCAGGGGGGCTGAAAGGCCAGGGTTTTTTTTTTCTTTTCTGCTGTTCATTATTTATATTTAGAATTTCTTAGGCATTGATAGGGTGGGCCTCTTTCCCCCCCCTCCCGTTTCCATCTCCCTTCCTTTTCCTTTCTCCCTCTTTCTCTTTCCTTTTCTCCAGCTTCCTTTTGTGTCATTGTGTGTTATTTAGCTTGGTGAGCTAGGAAGGAAAACTAGTTGTGAGAGGCAGGGAGGGAAGGGGGAGAGAGAGAGAAGGAAGGAAGGAAGGAAGGAAGGAAGGAAGGAAAATTGGAGGGGAGAAGGAAGGAAGAAAGGGAGGGAAAGAGGGAAGGAAGGAATAGCAGAATAGCAGAGGTGGAAGGGACCTTGGAGGTCATCCAGTCCAACCCCCTGCTCAAGCAGGAGACCCTACACCATTTCAGGCAAATGGCTGTCCAATCTCTTCTTGAAATCTTCCAGTGATGAGGAAGGGAGAGAGAGAGAGAGAGAGAATTGGAGGGGAGAAGGAAGAAAGGGAGGGAAGGGAAGGAAGGAAGGAAGGAAAGAAAAATATAAAGGAAGTAAAAGAAAAAATTCCATCTTACAGTCTGCTCAGAAACGGCCCATCACCACCCCAGAGAACCCCCGTTCCAAGCGGACCCTCTCCGGCCGCAGCCCCCGTCTGAACTTCTCTCCCAACAGCTTCTCACCCAGGTAGGCACCGCCGAGTCGGTTCAAAGGACCCTGACTCGTTTCCCAGCCCGTTTCTTTGAAGGAAGCAAGTTCACACAACCGTTGGGCAACTTTTGGCTCATCCCAATTGGGAAGACTTTTAAAGTGGCTTTCCCCCCCCCCCCCCTTCTCTTGAAGTGCAACCCCTTCTCAAAAATACGCGTCCCGGAAGAACCGAGGCGAAGTCGTGGCCTCTTTTGGGTCGGCACCAGGTGGCGGACGTGCCATTTCTGCCCCTTCGGTCCAGGTGTACAACGCCCCCCATTCGCTCAGCAAACCGTACAAATTCATGTTCCAGGATTTGATGGAGAACCGTGATGGTGAGGGGGTTTTCTGGACGGGGTGGGTGGGGGAGAACCAGCATGTTTTCAAGCTTATTTGCACAACTTCTTGTTCAATTGAGCAGGAGACTCATGTAACCCTGGTTGATCATCTGTACAGGCAGTCCTCAATTTACAGCCAGCCACTTAGCAACTGGATGGATGAATGGAGATAGATAGATAGATAGATAGATAGATAGATAGATAGATAGATAGATAGATAGATAGATAGATAGATAGATAGATAGATAGATAGTGTTCAACTTACAGCCACTTAGCAATTGGATGGATGTAGATAGATAGATAGATAGATAGATAGATAGATAGATAGATAGATAGATAGATAGTCTTCAACTTACAGCCACTTAGCAACTGGATGGATGGATGGAGATAGGCAGAGAGATGATAGAGTGGGGAGGGATAGCTGGGTAGATGGATAGATACATGGAAAAATTGATGGATGGATGGATGGATAGAGATGGAGAGGGATAGATGGATAGATATAGAGGGATGGATAGATAGATGATAGATGGAGAGAGAGAGAGAGATGGATACATGGATAGAGAGATGAATGATAGACACGCGTACACAGACACTTGGGCTAGATGGAAAAAACAGGCCTTAATTGCTCTCTTGAAACACTGGGGAAAACAAAGCCAATATTTTAATGTGCAGGCTGTGAAAATGCTTTCGGTTTTTTATTCTTTCACTTCCCTGTTGTTTTTCTTCCCCATAAGTGCTGTCCTACAAGATTGAAGAACTGGGCGACGCCCTCAAGGCCCATTATAAAATAGATGAGTTCTCCTCGGTGATGGTGCCTGCGCAGGTGTGTTCAGGCGGCTACGGGGTTGATAGCAAAAGTGAGGCGAAGGAGGGGGGGCAGCCCCATTGTTCCAAGCCTGTGGCCTTTACGGTGGGGATCTGGAAGAAAACGGCATCTCTGACTGTATTGTTGTGTTTTTAATGCCTGCCGGAAGGAACCTGTGACCGTCTTGGGCCAGATTGGGTGTGATTCAAATGGGAAGCTGAACCCCCAGTCCGTTATCCTAGAAGGGGACCGCGAACACTCGTCAGGGGCCTTCATCCCGGTCGATATTTCTGAGCTCTCGGATTATTCGTTGTTCCCAGGACAGGTGAGAGCTTAAACCACTGTTTCTCAACTTTTTAAGACGTTTGGACTTCAACTCCCAGAATTCCCTAGCCAACATATGTGGGTGGGATTTCAAGTGTGCATGGAGACTGGGGGATTCTGGGAGTCGAAGTCCACCCATCTCAAATCATGCTGGTTGGGGGATCCTGGGAGTTGAAGTCCATTCATCTTAAAGCATGCTGGCTGGAGGTTTCTGGGAGTTATAATTTTTTCTCTGCATTTTTTAATTTCATAGGTTGTGGTCATGGAAGGAATGAACAGCACCGGCAAGAAGCTGATTGTATCCAAACTCTACGAGGTGATTAAAAAACACACTGAGCCTTCACTGCTCTGCCACGCTCTCGAAGTGGATCTACATATTAATTTACAAGTTGTAGTTGTGTGATGATCCACTTTACGACCGGAATTGCAGGCTCAATTCCAGTCGTGAATGGAAGACTACTTGTATGCGATTTCTGTTCTAATGTCTGGAGGGTTTTGCGGTCTTTTTTTGTCCCTGGACAAGTGACTGTTCCTGAGCTTGTTTATTTCCTAAGCAGGAGTGACAAATTACAAGCCAGCAGTTGAATTTATTTGATCTCTCTGCAAATAAATGTAAAAAATAATTCTTCTCTCTCCAGGGGGTGCCTCTTCCTTTCCAGAAGCCAACAGAAGCAGCCACAGGTATGGTGTCTTTTTGCCAACTTAGTTCAGCCAGCATGTGACCTTAAATACAATTCTGGCTTCTTGCTGGATTTGTCTGCATTAAGCCACAGTTTGCTGAAACATGGTTAGTGGAGCCATTCCCACTTGACCACCTTCACACAGTATGCTGAGACAGTCCTCTGGGACAAATATTAAGGAATTATTAATATAGGGTTTATATATTATAATAATGTATTAATACCATATTAATATGTTATTATTAACAAGGTATTTTTATTCAATGTGTGCACTGAATTTTCCTGCACTGTTTACAGTCATTGTATTTTTTAAATAAATACAATATGTCTGCATATGTCCTACCATCTATCGTTATTACTGCCATTTGCCATTAATAATTGGATGATAATGCAAACAAACCCTTCCAGCTCTGTTCTATCCTATCCTATTCCATTTCATTCCATTCCATATTTCCTTATTCTATTCTATTCATTCCTTATTCTATTTCTAATTCTATTCTAATTCTATTCTATTTACTCTATATTCTATTCTTTATATTCTATTTTATTCTATTCTATTATTCTATTCTTTATTCTATTATATTCCTATTCTCTCACAGGGATATTTCTCTGGGCCATAATCTGGCTTGTTGGAAAATAAAAACTCAGCAAGCTTGTAATCCTTCCAGATCCGGAACCTCGGCTGGTCTTGATTGCCTGTGGGCCCTACACCACTTCGGACAGCATCGCTTACGAGCCCATGGTGGACCTGATTGAGATAATCAATAAAGACAAGCCGGATGTTTGCATTTTGGTAATGGAGACGCTTCTGAAATCTATGGGATGGGTTTGCTCTAGAACAGGGGTCCCCAGCCCCCGGTCCGTGGACTGGTACCGGGCCACAGCATGCCAGCAACTGGACCGCACAAACAAGCAAAGCCCCATCTGTGGGATGCAGGCAGCACACAAAACCATGCACCCTCCGGTCCGCGGAAAAACCTTTCTCCACGGAACCAGTCCCTGGTGCCCAAAAGTTTGGGGATCTCTGCTCTAGAAGTTTATACAGGCTGTCCTCAACTTACAACTGGTCATTTAGTGACCATTGAAGTTACGATGGACCTACTTGGGGCCTACTTAACACCCAGATTCAAAGTTCTGATGGTCACGGCCCCTCCACAATCTTTGGGCAATTGCAACTTCGAAGCTCTTGTAGCATCCCACAATCGTAGGACCTCACGTCATGCCGGTTTTACTGAAAACCAGTACTTCCAGTTTTTGGCAAAACCGCCCCCTAGCAAACAATGAGTTCACTTAATGACTGGTGTTCGTTTAAAGACCACCAGGCTTACACTTAGGACCACCACGGTCCCTTAAAAAACTGCCACGAACAAGGTCCTAAAACCAGGTCAGTCGCCCGTTTGATTCATTTTACAACTCGCATAACTTAACGACCGTAATGGATAGGATCCATTGTTCCTAATTGTAGTCGGTAATCCAGGCCGGCCTCATCAGCACTGCTTGGTGCCGTAGATGCTGGGAATCATAGTTGAGATTCATCACAATCCTTTTGATCCATCGTATTTGGCCAGCATTTGTAATTTGCAGAAACTAATTTCTGCAAATTCTTTTTTTTTTTTTCCTGCTTGCTTGATTTTTCGGAAATGGTAGCCACCGTTAATCAAGGTTTGGGATGCATTTCCCTTCTCTGTCCATCCTCATTAACCACGGCTTCCTTTCATTGTCTGCAGCTCGGCCCCTTTGTTGATGCAAAGCACAAACAAGTCGAGGTGAGTGGAGAAGAGACACAGGCATTAAATGTCGGTTTGTTTTGCCCCAGTGTGAGTTCAGAAGTTGACGCTTGGGAGCCCAAACCAGGACACTGGACCTCTAAAAACCTTGCAGGATCTTTCCATTTGTTTCTGACCGTTATTTTTCAGTGGAAAACAATAAAATAAGACAAAAAAAACTTCGGCCAAATTCTGCAGCTGCCTTAAGTAAGCAAAATCCAATATCAACAGGCTGTTTCTCTTGGCAGAGAGAAACTCAAAAAAAGAGGTTTGTTTTCCCCAAAATGGATGCTGTCCAGATGGGCTGCCCCCAGCTACCCAAAAGCCATTTTTTCTACCAGATGGGAGGTGTAGTTCCCCAAATCTGGGGAGCGTTAAATTGAGAGAAATTGACACTTGGCAGAATGTTTTGTTCAAAACGTCCAATTAGCTTCTGAACCGCCTGATTTAAACTGGGAAAAATTCCTTTAAATCAGGGCAGAGCCGTCACTAAATGAATCGGTCCGGTTTCTCCAGAATTAACCCAGGAGAGGCTAAATGTTAAATCTGCACCGAAAAAAAAAAGTTTTTCCCAAAGCTGATAGGCCAGAGAACCAGCCTTCTTGCACATCATTATCTGTCTTGACCTGGATGAGATTTGAACTCAGAGCTTCAGCCTGCAAGAAAGATTCTACCCTTGATCAACCCACCCAATTGATTTCTTTCTAGGAAGGGCAGCTGATCATGTTGTACGACGAGGTCTTCAAGAGGTGCTTGAAGACCATCATTGAAGGAACGAGGAGGTGAGAAGCCAGTTCGTTTTGTTTAGATGACCGGTGTTGTTTGCATTGAGGCGGCAGTTTCAGGCCAGGAATATTTCCTTGCCCCTCTGCAAAGTGGGAGTGGGAGAGGTCCATCATAACTTTAAATGGTCATATAATAATATAACAACAACAATAATAATAAAGTTGGAAGGGACCTTGGAGGTCATCTAGTCCAACCCCCTGCTCAGGCAGGAAACCCTAGACCATTTCAGACAAATGGTTTGTCCAGTCTCTTCTTAAAAACTTCCAGTGTCGGAGCATTCACCACTTCTGGAGGCAGGTTGTTCCACTGGTTAATTGTTCTCACTGTCAGGAAGTTTCTCCTTAGTTCTAGGTTGCTTCTCTCCTTGATTAGTTTCCATCCGTTGCTTCTTGTCCTGCCTTCAGGCGCTTTGGAGAATAGCTTGACTCCCTCTTCTTTGGGGGCAGCCCCTGAGATATTGGAAGACTTGCTATCATGTCCCCCCTCGTCCTTCTCTTCATTAAACTAGCCCAGGGGTAGGCAACCTTGGCTCTTTTATGACTCGTGGACTTCAACTCCCAGAATTCCTGAGCCAGCATGGCTCAGTATGGAAACCTCTCAATTTCTCCTCAGTGTGGCTGGTTCAGGAATTCTGGGAGTTGAAGTCCACCAGTCATGAAAGAGCCAAGTTTGCCTACCCCTGAACTAGACATTCCCAATTCCAGCAACCGTTCCTTGTATATTTTAGCTTCCAGTCCCCTGAAAGTCTTTGTTGCTCTTCTCTACCCTCGTTCCAGAGTCACAACATCTTTTTTACATCGTGGTGACCAAAACTGGATGCCGTATTCCAAGTGTGGCCTTACCAAGGCCTTGTAAAGTGGTATTAACCCTTCACGTGAGGACTTCCTGCATTCCTGGTTCTCACAATTTTGTGTCTCTGCTTGATCCCACACAGTGCCGGCTCCCACCTTGTGTTTGTGCCTTCCTTGAGAGACGTGCACCATGTGTGTATTTATCCCCAACCACCTTTTGTCTACGAACTCTCCAAAGAGGACCGACAGGTAATTCCTCCGCCTTTCAGAGAAACGTCGCCTTCACAAGCTTGTTGCGGGTAATCCTCAGACGTACGACCGCAACAGAGCCCAACATTTCTGTCACTAAGTGTTGCTAAGCGAGACATTTGTTAAGTGGCTCTTGCCCCGTTTTACGGCCTTCCTTGCCACATTCCTTAAGTGGATCACTGTAGCTCTTAAGTTAGACACACTAGTTGTTAAGTGAAACCGGCTTCCCCCCTTGACTCTGCTTGCCAGAGGTCACAAAAGGGGACCCCGGGACCCTGCGACCGTCATAAAGGTGAATCAGTTGCCAAGCGTCTGAATTTTGATCACGTGGCCCCAGGGATACTGCAACGGTCGTTAAATGTGAAAAATGATCCTAAGTCACGGGTAACTTTGAACGGTCACTAAATGAACTGTTGTAAGTCGAGGACTACAATACTTGACAACTGACTCATATTTATGACAGTCGCAGCGTCCCGGATTCACGTGATCCCCTTTTGCGACCTTCTGACAAGCAAAGTCAATGGGGAAAAGCCAGATTCACTTAACAACCGTGTCACTAACTTAATATCTGCAGTGATCCACTTAACAACTAGAACCGGGGTAGGCAACCTTGGCTCTTTTATGACTCGTGGACTTCAACTCCCATAATTCCTGAGCCAGCATGAGGGAAACTTTGGCCCCCTCATGACTTGTGGACTTCAACTCCCAGAATTCCTGAGCCAGCATGAGGGAAACTTTGGCCCCCTCATGACTTGTGGACTTCAACTCCCAGAATTCCTGAGCCAGCATGAGGGAAACTTTGGCCCCCTCATGACTTGTGAACTTCAACGCCCAGAATTCCTGAGCCAGCATGAGGGAAACTGGCCCCCTCATGACTTGTGGACTTCAACTCCCAGAATTCCTGAGCCAGTATGGCTCAGCTTGGAAACCTCTCCCTTTCCCCTCAGCATGGCTGGCTCAGGAATTCTGGGAGTTGAAGTCCACCAGTCATAAAAGAACCAACCCCTGAACTAGGGTAAGGAAGGTCCTAAAATGGGGCAAAATTCACTTAACAAATGTCTCACTTAGCAACCAAAATTTTGGGCTCCACTGCGGTCGTGAGTTGAGGACCACCTGTATACAACATAGAGTTTTTTAGTTTTCTGTAAATGTTGATTTGATTGGGCTGAATTCTGAAAGGAAACATTGGATCTGCAAGAAAAACCACCAAGATCAGAGACCCCCAAGGACCCCACAATTGGAACCCTGTGGGTAGATCCAGGATGATGTCTTTCCTTAGCCTTCCTATTTTCTTCCTAAGCATAAGAAGTATTGCAAGCACCTTTTTTTGCAAATATTGAACGTAGCAGTCAGCAAAGCATCCTCCAGAAATCTGATGCTTTGCCAAAGGATTTGAAGCCAAAATATCTGGCTTGGCTGGATGGCTGATTTGGATGGTTCTCTTCCCATTCATTTGATAAGAAAAGATTAATTCAGACCAGGCCGAAATCTACATTTTTTTAAAGGCAAAACGTTGGATTGCCGCTTTTGGCTTTTGGAAGTTCCAGATATTCCCAATAGGAGGTTCCAAGATGGTTCAGCCACCAGCAGGGGGCGATAGTGGTTACATTTTGGCTTGGAGTTGCCAAAAATTGCCTTTTTTTTCCCCCCTCCCAAAAAAATACTAGGAATTTCCTGTTCAAATTGAAGTTGTTTTTCCAGGAAAAGCCAAGACAGCAGAGTGACTCAGGCCTTAGTGTGCAAAGTGTAATTTTTTGGAAGGGAGGAAATTATTGCAATTATTTTTTTTCCTCCCATCAAGCTTCAGAAGTCTTACGTCGTCCGCTTCCGGGCTTGCTGGGAAGAATTTCTTCCCCTCTGCTTGCTTTGCTGTCCCTTTTATCCTACATTTTGATCCTGGGTGGACATTGACACAACCTTTTCTTTTTGCAAAAAGGCCCAGGAACTTTTTTTTTGGGGGGGGGGGGTACTTCACTCGGCCACTCAGCTGAAACAGGACACAACAAGGATGGATTCTATGGAAACTTTGCTAATTTCTTGAAAGGGGAATTGGCAACTTTCATTCTGGGCGAAGTTTGTTTCTGTTCTCTTTTATTGTGTTAAATCAGCACTTCTCAACCACGGGGACTTCAACTCCCAGAATTCCCCAGCCAGCCATGGGAGTTGAAGTCCCCACGTCTTCAAATTGCCCAGCTTGAGAAAGACTGTGTTAAATCTTCTTTTCAAAAAAGGCAGACAGGGAACTGGATATGTAATCCGAAACACACAAACACACCCGTCCTTTTCTCACAACAGGCAAGCAGGGGTTTCCCTTCTGCTGGGCCAGAGCCAAGAACAGCAGGAAGACCAAACTTTCTCAAACCTCCTGTGCAGCTTTGGCTGTGGGTGTGTATGTGTGTGTGTGTGTTTATTTTGCTGGGGCAACGCCCTAGGGAAATAAATCCCTAAATATTAATTGCTCAAGCGGTGAAATTCCCCAGCAGAATTTAACCCACGTCCTGTGCCTGTTTAATGAAAGTAGGTCTGGTGTGTGTGTGTGTGTGTGTGCGCGCGCGCGCCATTAAGATGGTTTGGGACTCCATTTCCCAGAATTCCATGCTCGCTGAGGAATCCTGGGAGTTGCGATTCCAGTCCTTTGGAAGAACGTTGGCTTGGGGAAAGCCATCATCAGAGTCAATATCAGGGTTTAGAAAATCTAACATAGATCCCTAAGTCTTTTTCATTTCCATTTTTGAAAAAGAACAGAGAGTCCTCAACTTACAACCGTTCGTTTAGGGACTGTTCGCACTGAAAAATGTGACTTACGACTGTTTTCTTACATCCGTTGCAGCCTCCCCAGGATCACGTGATCAAAATTCAGACGCTTGGCAACTGACTCGTATTTACGACGGTTGCAGCGTCCCCAGGGTCCTTTTTTGTGATTTTCTGACAGGCAAAGTCAATGGGGAAGCCCAGATTCCCTTAGCGACCGTGTGACTCATTTATCCACTGCAGTGATTCACTTAACAACCGGGGCAATAAAGGTTGTAAAGTGGGGCAAAACTCACTTGACATTTAGCAACGGAAATTTGGGGTGCCGTTGTCGTAAGCTGAGGACTGCACATAGTTGAGTGTGGCTTTTAAATAGGAGAAAAGGGGGTTGCGTGAAGCCCTCAGCCTCTTCCAGTTTCTTTTCCCATCTATGCAATAAAAATAAAATCTATCTATCTATGGGGTTTAATAGCTGCTATCATGTTTAATAACATGATAGCCGCGTTCCCATATCTCAGGGGCTGCCCCAAAGAAGAGGGAGTCAAGCTATTCTCCAGAGTGCCAAAAGGCAGGACAGGAAACAACGGATGGAAACTAATCAAGGAGAGAAGCAACCTAGAACTAAGGAGAAACTTCCTGACAGTTAGAACAATTAACCAGTGGAACAACCTGCCACCAGAAGCGGTGAATGCTCCAACACTGGAAGTTTTCAAGAAGAGACTGGACAGCCATTTGTCTGAAATGGCATAGGGTTTCCTGCCTGAGCAGCGGGTTGGACTAGATGACCTCCAAGGTCCCTTCCAACTTTATTATTATTATAGCTTCTTAGTTATTTTGGTGACTGCAATTAAAACAAATTTATTTATTTTTCCCCCCCCCTCTCAAACTCCAGAGAGTGCTCTTCGTCTCCGATCCCTGCACCTTAGAGATCGACGGGGTGATTTTCGGCTTAACCTCGGTGGATTTGCTCTTACACATGGGAGCGGAAGAAATCAGCCGGTAGGATCTTCGCTAAAAAAGTTCAATTCCATGCAGGAAAGATTTGACATGGTTCAAAATGGTTATTTATTTTTAACGAAGCATAAAATAAACACACAGAGAAAAAGATAAAACGTAAAATAGGGGAAGAGAGAAAAGTCTAGGGTAGAGGAGAAAATAGATTTTTTTTTTAAAAAAAAACACTGACTTACTCCTTTTGGTGCAGGAGAACGAGACAATAACATGAAATCACAACTTTTTTTACTTTTATATAATAGCATAGGTCGTCCTAGCTTGCAGCGGTTTGTTTAGTGACCGTTCAAACTTGCAACGGCGCTGAAAAAAGGGACTTAAGTCCATTTTTCAGACTTATCACCGTTGCAGCCTCCCTGTGACCAGGGGGTTTATATCTGGATGCTTTGACAACTGCTTCATATTTATGACAGTTGAGGAGAAATTTCCTGACAGAACAATGAACCAGTGGAACTCCTTGCCTCCAGAGGCAGTGAGTGCTCCAACCCTGGAAGTTTTTAAGAAGAGACTGGATAGCCATTTGTCCGAAATGGTATAGGGCAGTGGTGGCGAACCTATGGCACGGGTGCCAGAGGCGGCACTCAAAGCCCTCTCTGTGGGCACACACGCCGTCGCCCCAATCTTAGGCCTTCAGCTGGGTTTTATAAAACCTTTTCACTTTAGGCCTCCACCACCGTGTACAAAAAAAAAAAAGGTTCAATCAGTCAATTTCAACTTCTCACGGGAAAAAAAAAAGATCTTGCAAAGTTGGAATTGATTGATTGAACTTTTTAGTCCCACCCAGTCTGCTGTTACCACCGCAGCCACACCCACCCAATGGGCCACACCCACCCAATGGGCCACGCCCACCCGGCACCCAACAATGCATAAGTGGGTTTTGGGTTGCAGTTTGGGCACTTGGTCTCTAAAAGGTTCGCCATCCCTGGTATAGGGTTTCCCGCGTGAGCAGGGGGTTGGACTAGATGACCTCCAAGGTCCCTTCCAACTTTATTATTATTATTATTATTATTATTATTATTATTATTATTATTATTATTATTATTTAACAACTGGGGTGAATTCACTTAACAACAAAAGTTATTTAAAAAAACAAAGTCATAAAACTTAGCAACAGAAATTTTGGGCTGAATTGCGGTGCTAAGTCAAGGACTCCCTGGTATAACGTGAAGGGCGAAAGAAGCTGGCTAACACTGCCCCCTCCCTGCCCCCCCATTGGGGGTGTCTGAGTGATTCAGGAGTGAGTGTCAACACTTTGTCGATCTGGGGCCTTGCGCAATCCCGGTTGCGTCAGCCGAGAAACACCTCTGCGGATCTGCAACCGAGTGTGAGAGACAAATGCAGCCTCTCGCGCAGATGGACGAGCTGGGATGAGAGGTGACTCACAAACAGCTCACAACGACAGGAGGAAGAGAAACAAACTTGGAGTGGGTGTCATCGGTGGCTGCCCCAGAAAGTCAAAGAGTTTGCATGATTTCCAGAAAGGCTTCTCTGCTTTACAGTTAGTCCTCGACTTAACAACTACAATTAGGGCCACAATTTCCGTTGCTAAGCAGGGCGATGGTTACATTAACTTAGGTTAACACTATTCTGTTCTGTTCTGTTTTCTATTCTGTTTTACCCTCTATATTCTATTCTCTCCTTTCTATTCTGTTCTGTTCTGTTTTCTATTCTGTTTTCTATTCTATATTCTCTCCTATTCTCTCTTCTCTTCTCTTCTCTTCTATTTTCTCTTCTATTCCATTCTCCTATTCTTCTATTTTCTGTTCTATTTTCTATTCCATTCCATTCTCTCCTATTCTGTTCTGTTCTATTTTCTCTTCTATTCCATTCTCTCCTATTCTCTCTTCTCTTCTCTTCTATTTTCTCTTCTATCCCATTCTTTCCTATTCTCTCCTATTCTTCTATTTTCTGTTCTATTTTCTATTCCATTCCATTCTCTCCTATTCTGTTCTATTTTCTCTTCTATTCCATTCTCTCCTATTCTCTCTTCTCTTCTCTTCTATTTTCTCTTCTATCCCATTCTTTCCTATTCTCTCCTATTCTTCTATTTTCTGTTCTATTTTCTATTCCATTCCATTCTCTCCTATTCTGTTCTGTTCTGTTCTATTTTCTATTCTATTCCATTCTCTCCTATTCTCTCTTTTCTCTTCTCTTCTCTTCTCTTCTCTTCTCTTCTATTTTCTCTTCTATCCCATTTTCTCCTATTCTCTCCTATTCTATTTTCTGTTCTATTTTCTATTCCATTCCATTCTCTCCTATTCTGTTCTATTCTATTCTATTCTATTCTATTCTATTCTATTCTATTCCGTAATTCAATATAGCCTTCGCTGAGCTGCCTTAAGGGCTAGAATCTTGTGAACCTTTTTTTTTTTTTAAGGAGATGAACCCTTTCATCCAGAGTGAATGTGATAAGAGTTTTTTTTTTTTTAAATACTCCGATTAGCCATGACTAAGCTGTGGGTGTCTGCAAGTAAATGTTGTGACTAACATATGAGGGGTTTGCAAAACAGAAAAATGTGACTACATATTTATGATGTCACAGACAAGATAGGCATCTGTTACTGACCAGCAGGATTGCATTACAGACACAAAAGCATATTTTTCCCCCCATATTTTCCCTGAGGTTTTGGGTGGGGGATGTTGGCTAGTTTGAAAGAGGTGTTAATCTTAAGGATTCGGGACTTAAATGGACCATCACCGAGCAAAGAACATAATAACAGAGTTGGAAGGGACCTTGGAGGTCTTCTAGTCCAACCCCCTGCTCAAGTAGGAAAAGTCAGTGGATAAAAATCACAGGTTTGTTTGGAGCCAAGTTTAACCCTCCTTTTGATAAACAGTTCTCTAATAAGCCATCCGCTTAACCCCCTCCTACATTTTTATCCTCAAAACAATCCTGTAAGGTAGGCCACTCCAGAAGTCTCTTCAGAGATCAAAGTCTCTTAATTTTTTTTTTCGTTTTCTGATTTTTTTCCCCTCCCATTCTCAGATCTTCAAGTCTTCAGGACCGTTTTTCTCGAATTCTCAAACACATCCTGACCCAGCGGAGGTAAGCCTCCGGACCGCTTCCGAACACGGCTTGCGTTTTGTTCCCACCCTGCCCCAAATACACAAAAAACACATACACTCAAAATTCCAATTGGTGCCCATCCTGAGCCCAAGGGGAGGATTGGGATTGGAGGCTTTCTTCATTTTCCAACAATGTACGGGACAAAGGGGGATTCTAGTCTTCATGAAGAGATCACTGGCTAATTATATATATAAAAAAATAAATCTAAACCCAGTTAGCTGTGGCTTGGCCTTAGAAAGAAGCATGGGTGTTTGTGGTATGCAAAAATGTTTGTAGAAAAGCTGCAAAATGTTTGTAGAAAAGGGTTGAGAGGGAGGAAGAAAGAATGGGAAGGAAGGGAGGGAGAGAAAAAAAGGAAGGAAGGAAAAGAGAAAGAAGGAAGAGTGAGGGAGAGAATGGGAAGGAAGGGAGAAAGGGAAGGAAGGGAGGAAAAAAGGAAAGGGAAGGAAGGAAAAGAAAGAAGGAGTGAGCGTAGAGAATGGGAAGGAAGGGAGG